TCATTTCAACTACCTCCATTCCAGGGCAGGGGCTAAGGAGAAAAAAAAAAAATAGCTATGATTTATTGAGGGCTTGCCATGTGCCAAGTTCTGCAGGGAATATTTTATGTACATAGTCTTAATTCAGCCTCCGAACTCTGTTAGGTAGAACCCATGACACACATTTTATAGATGAGCTGCTTAGAAAAGTGAACAAAATGACTACAGAGTTTCATACTGGTTGATGCAAAAGCGGCATTCCCATGCACTGGCAGACCCCACAGCTCACTGCCTCCCCCAGGAACTCCAGCTAGCCAGGCTGCCCGAGGCCCTCAAGCTCAGTCTGTGCAGTGGCTGTTTTTAGCAGATCCAACAGCATCTCAACAGATTCATCCTTTCCTACCATGGCTGTGCGTGTACACAGTGGTGTTTGGAAATTTCATGAAATAAAAAGCATGTATAGTGAAAACCAGTTTTTGTTCACATTCACTTCTTTTTTTAATTATTATTTATTTAATTTTATTTATTCATTCATTTATTTGAATTTGACCAGAGAGAGAGACACACACACAGAGAGAGAGAAAGGGATAAAGGAAGCCGCCAGGTCCGTGACTCGAACCGTGGTTGGCCATGTGGGAGTGTCCAGCACCTTAACCACCACGCCACCTGCTGGTCCCCACATTCACTTCTTATTCCTCAATTTTTCTTCCCTGAGGAAATTGCTGTGAATGAAGCAACAAATGAATATTGAGAGAACCTTTCCTGAGTTCTACTGCTTTAAAATCTCCTAGGTCTGACCAGGAACCTGGGCTTTTAACAAGTTTCCCGGATAGTTTTGGTGGCAGACCTGGGGCTGATGGAGATTCTCATCACTCCAGTCAAACAATGATGCCCAGCTGAGTAAAAATAAAATAGAAAATTCACTCTGCTTATGCCAAAAATATTTTGGTTGTGTACAGCCTTTCAGGAATATGATGTTTGGTAAAAATGAGTTCATGCTTTCTTGGTTTTGAAAAATCTAATTTTACAGAGTAGTACATTTCAGTTGAAGATATTTTTGCACACAAGTGGGACTGAAAATTGACTGGACAATGTTACCGTCTGTGGCCCCCTGACTGGGGTAGTGAAAGCAGCACTGGCCTGAGTGAGACCAGGGGTCTTAGTCTGCTGGGCTGCTGCGGCCGAACAACAGAACGAGCCCAATGTATTCTCCCAGCTTCTCTTCTTGTAGGAAGTCCACATCAAGGTGCAGGCTGCCTCAGTTCCTGGTAAGAACCTACTTTCTGCAGATGGCCACCTCCTTGCTGTGTCCTCACATGGAAGAGAAAGAGAGAATACTCTGGCTTCTCTTCCTGTTCTTGTTGGGACACCAGTCCCCACATGGGGCCCTACTCTCATGATCTTATTAAGTCCAATAATTTCCCAAAGGCCCCACCTCCAAAACCATCCCATCAGGGTTTGGGGCTTTAGCATGGATTTTGGGGAACACAATCGTTCCGCCCCAACACCGGTGGTCAGTCCACTCCGTCAGTGACCAGCTGAGAGCGCGAGGGCAAGTTACTTCCCTTTGAGGTAAACTGACTGGACATGCTCAGGGGTATCCTGTGTGCTCCCAAGGGCGCCTAGAATCCTTTCTGGGGTGAGACGAATAGTCCCTCTTTAGGGAGTGTTGTGACTGAGTACACAAGTCTCAAGCTCACTAGTCAGCCCCGTACCCCCCTTACCATTCTGTAAGAGCAGCTCCTCTTACCTGCCTGTTCTCTCTACTCGATCTAGCATCTATCTATTTATTTATCTGTCATCATCTGTCTATCGAATCTATCATCTATCCTATTATCCAGTGTTAATTAAATTCCAGATTGTTCAGATTTCACCAGTTTTTCTTCCAATACTCTTTGTCTTTTTCCAGGATCCAGCCCAGGATACTACATTGCAGTTTGTGTCTTATTTGATTTTGCCTTTGATTTCGATTACAGTCAGACTCGTGATTCTAAACTAACAACAAAAGCAGGTGTTTGGTACCCACTGGACGGACTGCTTGCTAGGTGTTTCACTCATGAACTTGAGGCTGACATTACAGGAGAAGCGTAGCTCCTGTGCAGGTGAGATGCAAAGTCTTGGAGGCAAGCAGGATGATCTCACTTGTCCTCCCTGGACAAGTCGCTGAGCCTCCCTGGACTTCTCACCTCTAAAATGAGAGAATAATAACTAATTTGCAAGTTCCGTGGCTAAAGTGAGTTTAGTACGAGGCACCACTCTAGGTAAGCGTTTCAGCTACGGTGACTTTTCCCAGGTTTAAAGTGTGCAGTTGGTGCCTTTCCCCTCGAGTTAGGGCTGTCTAGGCACTCCTCTCCCAGCTGTAACATTAGTGTTGCTCTCCTGTGCCCAGCCAAGCCGCAAACATTTGCGTGTGCTTGGATTAATATTTAACCGCAGCCTATGCCCCTCTTTCAAGGAAAGGCCCTTTGTTTCAGCCTTACTGTTAAGATGGGATTTAAAACATTTATCCCAATGCAGTTGTTCCAAGGTAGAAAAAGATTGTGCAATTAATACATATTAATCATCAAAAAGTTAGAGTGCATGGATAAACAAAAGGAAGGGAATAGAAAGCGGCTATGATCAGGCCACCTAGACATGAACTTGTTACCATTTCGGAATCTACATCTGGTAATACACGTATTCTCTTCCTCTTTCTCCCTTTTTAAATTACACTGTCTTATACATCACTTTTTGTGTGACCAATTGTCCCTTACTATACACATTTATTTGTATGTAATAAAATCTAATTCTGAAAAGTAATTTTTAAATTATATTGTATGATGTGTTGAAATAGTCTTCACTAATTCTCTCTTGTTGGATGGTGTGGTTGTTTTTAATTTTTGTTTTTGCCAGCAACATTGCAACAGCAATGGAAAATAGTGAAATCTTTGTGCAGCATTTTCCAGTTAGGCAATCTGAAGCTGACAACTGTTATATGCAGTCTCCATGCTCTTCCCTCTCACGTCCCTTCTCAGAATCTCCTGTATTGTTTGTATGTAACTACCTATTTGGTTCCTTCGTTTTTTTTTTTTTCTCTGAAGGATGTGTGTGCTTACTGGAGAGAGACAGGAAGAGAGAAAGTGAGAAATTATCCCCTGGGGGGATGGACATGCTACCGTCCCTGTACCATTCTTCCTTCAGGATTTTGGGCATGCATGAACACACGCCTGGTGTGTATTTCAAGCTGAAGAGTCCTGGACTCCAGTTGTGTAGTAGGCCATGTGGGATCCAGCCACCTTAACCTCCATGCCACCTGCTCTTTTATTTTTAATTTTTTAAAAGTTTAATTTGCCATAGGACATGTGCATGGGAGAGAGAGAGAGAGAGAGAGAGAGAGAGAGAGAGAGAGAGAAGGTAAGAAAGCACCCCCTGGAAGGGATGGCCATAACCCAGTTCTTTTCCCTCCATTTTCCTCTTGGGATTTTGGGCACACATGCGTACATGTCTGGTGTGTTTTCTAAGCTGTTGGGTCTGGGACTGGGATTGTGCAGTGGGCCAAGTGAGACCCAGCCACCTTAACCACTCTGCCACCAGCTGGCCCAGTCCCCATGACCTTGCTTCTTATTGAGAATAAAATGACACCTGTACTCCAATCACGTCTGATCTAATTATGTCAATTTAAGGCCCCTAGTCCATTTCTAAGATCAGAGAACACACTAGTAAGTGATCCTGACTCATGCAAATTCTTTTTGATTTAACCCCTTTCTCCTTTCATAGTGAAGTTATCGAGGTGCCTTCTCCTGGCATAATCTCTCTGAAATATAATTTATAACATTAGCATGGTAAACAGCTACTATATTTGACTTTATGAAATATTTTATAAACATCTCTAATCCTCATTTAATCTTCACCATAATTTGCAGACTACAGATGATTTTCCTGGTGAAAATCAAGACTGAGGAAAATTAAATAATTTCTTCAAAGTGAAAAGAACTACGACTGGAGTACTCCTGGTTCTGAGGCTGGGCATGCACCCCGGGATCCTGGGTCCTGCGCTGTGAGACCCTCCTCTAGCGGTGGCTTACTGTCTGTAGGAGCTGCATAGGAGAGCTCACCGTTTTGGTTCTTATGCCATCCAGACAGCAGCTGCAGGGGGCCAGCCCATGGTGCGGTGGCTGAGGCTGTAGGATCCCACACACTGTTGGAGTCCCTATTCCAGCAGCTTTAGAAGCAAGCTGGATGCATGCATGCCAAAAATCCTGAAAGGAGAGAGAAATGGAGGGGAAGGGATTGTGGCATGACCATGTCCTATGCGGTGGGAGTGGGGTTGCCTCCTTGCTTTCTCTTCCACCTCACACCCTATCTCTCTCTCTGGAGAGCACACACACCCTCTGCTCCCCCAAAAGCATATCTGCTCAAACCTGTGAATGTGATTTTATTTGGGAATAGGGCTCATGCAGATGTAATTGAGGATTTTTTCATTTGTTAATTTTTTTTTACATTTAATCACTGTGTATCATTAGAGCATACCAAATGAAATACTGCATATTGGTTCAGGCAAAGATATTACTGTACACATAATCATCAACAACTTTCCATTTTTGTGTCCCTTAAATGTTTTGCTTCTTTGTTTTCCCCTTGATCTTAAGATCATCCTGGATAGAATGCACTAAATCCAATATGTCCAGAGAAGAGAAGAGATGAGATGAAAAAACACAGAAGGGAAGGTAATGTAAAGATGCAGGCCGAGGGAACCAGCAGTTAGCGTAATGGCTATGTCGCTGGACTCCCATGTAGTCGACCGCGGTTCACGTCCCGGACCCGGTGGCTTAAAACTCATGCCAGGCGTGTGTGCGTGCGTGCCCAAGATCCCAAGAGGAGAATGGAGAAGGGATTGCAGCGTGACCATCCCCCTTGGGGGGGTGATTTCTCGCTTTCTGTCTCTATGTCTCTCTCTGTCTGTCAGGCGAGCGCACGCGCCCTACAGTGAAAATCTCTCCAAAAAAAAAAAAAAAAAAAAAAAAAAAGATGCTGACCGAGACTGGAGTATGTATCCACAAAGCAAGGAAACTCTGGGGATTGCCGAGAGCCACCCGGAGCTGGTAGACAGGCGTAGAATAGATTCCCTCCGAGCCCCAGAATGTGCGGGCTCAACCAAACCTTAATTTTGTACTTCCGGCCTCTGGAATTGTGAGAAAATAAAGTCCTGTCATGGCTTTGTGATAATTTGTTACAGCAGCCCTAGGAAACGACTGTGACATTACTAGTGCAAGAGAATGAGACAGGATGGGACCAACACTCACATCTGAGACGAGAAACACAGAGCTAAGTTTACCGCTCACTACGGTCGGAAACGCTGTGCGGGGCCACGTACCTTCTCGAGGAGAGCAGGTGGAGAGTAGGTGGCGTGGAGGCAAGGCAAGGCGGCCTTAAACAGGGTTTGGGGAAGCATGGCGCTCAGGCCAGGCTGATTTTGAGGGCCTAAGGAGCTGAGCTGGACGAGAGTGACTACTTTGGGAAGATTGTGAGAATCATATATTTATCTATCTATCTATCTATCTATCTATCTATCTATCTATCTATCTATCTCTATCTATCTATCTATCTATCTATCTATCTATCTATCTATCTATCTATCTATCTATCTATCTATGTAGCTGCTTATTATAAAGATTTCAGAAAAAAATCAATGCAAACAAAACACCCATCTCTCAGAAATCATTTTGGTAACATTTGATGGATGACATTTCAGATTCTATCTTGGCATATACTGAGCCAGAAACTTTGGTGGATGTAATTTGTACAAAAAAATGACTATATGTGTTATTTTTTTCCTTTTCTACTTGGATGTCTTTTATTTCAGTTATTTATTTATTTTTTCCATTTCTTATGTTTTGTATATTTTGCTTTTTTTCTCTATTTCTTTTATTTTTTTAAAACTTATTTCGTGCTGTGTTTTTAAAAGATGAAACGTAAGTCTACTTAAATATACTACCTCAAAAGTAAACTAGAATCAAGCCGAAGAAATCACTGAACTTCAGATAAGTATTTGTTCAAAACAAAAGACAGGAACTCCTAAGAAGATAATTTCATAACATAGTAGAATAACTATAGCTGGTGACAATTCTATGTATATTTCAAAATACTACGAGAGAGGATTTCGAATGTTCACAACACAAAGTAGGGGTAGATGTCTGAGATGGTGGATATGTGTACTGCCCTGGTTTGATCATGAAACACTGCATTCATACAATGAAAACGCATACTGTACCCCATAATATGTACAACCGCTATATGGCAATTAAAATTGTAATAAGAATACACTAAAAAACATACTAAAAGTTTAAAAAGAGTTGCTTTTTAAGAACTCTGTATGTTTCCACTTTGTACAAGAGTTATTTGCTTTCAGCCATGAAAGAGAATTTTAGGCACTTCCTTTTCCCTTTCACCAGTCTTCCAATTTTTGTTAGTTACATTATTATTTTTGGATTGCCTCAAACTTTAACATTTCTGTTATGTTCTGTCAACTAATTCTCACTGTTGTTTAGTCTTGATTCTTTGTTTAAAAGGTCCAACACTTACTCTGGTCCTTTCATGGTGTCTGGCTACGCAGAATTTCATCATCAAATATTTTTCAAGCAGGGCTTTGTTAATATTGTCCTCGCATTCTTGCGTGTTAGGGAATGCTTCTTGTTCTGCTTCTTTTGTAGTCGCAGCACGACTTGGCTGAGTAGCAAACCCTCGAGTCATCCTTTCCTCCTTAGAACTTAGTAGGTGCTGCTCTGTTCTCAGGGGATGAGTGTTGTAGTGGAGACTGAGGGAAACTGCCACCCCGGCCTGGTCATCTGTGTTCTCTCAACGATGCATACAGAACATTTTCCTTTGACTTTCAGTGTCTTCACAGTACATTCTCGATGTTAACCATTTTACTAGTCTTTTCAGGGACACAGTATGTCCATTAAAGTCAGAGATACCTAGCTTTCTTCAAGTAACTTTTTTTTTTTTAAATTAACTTTGTTTTGTCCTGTTCCTTATTATCTGTTCCAAATACCAATTTGTGTATGTCAGCCTCCTTTTTTCTTCAGCTTGTATTTCCTGTCTGCAGTAATTTTATTTCACTGTTCCTCTCTATTCACTTGCTGTGGTTTCTTAAGCTTGTTCTGTGCTTTCAGTAGTATTTATCTGTTTTCTGTTGCTTCTAAGTTGACTTTCATCCCTATAATTGTTTTATTTTTATCTCCCATTGATTTCTTGAGTCAGTTCACTTTTCAGCGGCTCTTCATCTTCTTGTTTGATCATTTATTTCTATGTCTTCTTTGAACTTTCTTTTCTGAGAAAGTATGTTGTCAATTTATTTAAGTTAGGAGAACTAATCTCTGTATTCTCTGCTGGTAGATCATTTATCATGTATATAGTTTACTTGACTCCTGTATTTTTTTTTTCTTTTTTCCACGTTTGCATTATCCATGGTAGGCCCCTCGTCTGGCTTCTGTCTTGGTGTTACTCAAAGGTGCATCTGACATGATTCAACAATGGTGCAGGGAGGGGCTGGGAGGCAAGGGCAGCTGGGCTCTAAATCAGGTGAGTCCTCACTCCTAATGAATCCGCTTTAGTGAAATGTCTCCCTCAAGCTTTGGGTTCACGAGGTCAGTGGCTCATAGGAAACTGGTAGAGATCTAGACCGTGTTGTGACTTCAGGATTGCTTCACCCATGCCTTTTATTTGAGCAGTTTTTGCCTTAGGGTGTGTGCACTCACTGAAGAGAGAGACAGTGTCAGAGACAGTGAGAGAAAAAGTAAGAAATCACTCCCCAGGGGAGATGGCCATGCCACAGTCCCTTCTCCATTCTCCTCCTGGGATCTTGGGCACACATGCACATGTGCCTGGTATGATTTTCAAGCCACCCAATCTGGAACTTGAACCATGGTTGGCCATGTGGGAGTCCAGTTGTGGATCCACCTTGCCATCCACCAG